TCCTTTTCCATGTTTATTTCTGAGCCTTTGCTGAGACGGTATGATATAAATCTCCCAGTTAGGGCCAAGTAGTATATATCTCTGTACCTTGACCAGCTGTATGTCTCTGTGCTTATCACTATCTTCTGAAAAAAATTATGTAACATTGTTTTTAAAAATAATTTATTTTATACGATTTATACATTTTCACTTTCCAAAACAAACTAGTGGCTTTATTTTAGTGTATGTGTTAATTGTATACAGGACACAGCATGAGAAGAAACAATTTCCCGTTCTGCTAGTCTTTAAAACCCTTCAAAATCTGTACGTTATCTCAAAACACTAAATCGTAAGCTACTAATTATACTTTAATATTTAAAAATACATGAAAATTGATGCATTGTTTTCAGAGCTGAATGTTGACCTGGATTATACAATAGCCATACTTTTGTACCATTTTCATAATGAACTGGCTATTTTTCAGTGTTTTTCAGTATTTCAGATTCCACATTCTTACACTGTCAGACCTTAATAAACTTCACAAAAAGAGTGCTTGAGATCCCACCACTTTGATGTTTTCTTCGTTGTCTAACACAGACTCTGTCAATAGCACTTTTGTATTTTTAGTTACAAAACATTAAATATTTGCATGAACTTTATTATCTTAATGTCACTGTAGAATGACTGTTTGAAGTGTAAATACAAAGCACTGTTTATTACTCTATGGGGTGGCTAATGTATGACACAGTCCCACATTACTTTGCAGTTATTCATTGTACAGCCAGACATTGACCTCAGCTACCAGATTTCTTATGAAATTACTTGAATTTAAAAAAAAATCCCTCATTCTCTCAGTGGTCCTCTGACCAGTGACAGAAGAAATGCTGCCAGCTGAGGCTCTATTGAAACACATCCAGTTAAAATAAGTGTAAGGGACACATCTATTTAAGGCACAGTTAAAAGTTCTTCCTTCATCCTCTGTGAACTCAAACTACAGAGAATAGGGCACCAGATAGTGAAAAATAGGTGATAAGGTGGGATTTGTACACTGGTCACTGTGATGTGGGCCAGGTAATTAATGGTAGATAGAACATAGAGTTTCTGTCATAGAAAATGTACAAGACCCATGCAAACTGAAGCAAAGAAAACTTTAGCATAGAACTGTGGAAATAGGGAGCAGGCCCCAGTCTTAGCCAAAGAACCATTGGGGAGCTGACTTGGGTGAGGGAGAGCTGATCTTCTTTAAGAGAGTGTCTACAGATAGAATGACTAGACCCCAGAGAATGAACTCACACTGATGGACATCAGGCGATGACACTAACTTGACTTGAGAGACCTTAACATAAATGACAGAATGACAGAGACCTTAAATCCAGAGGGGGGCTATGGAGGGTGCTGATGGTGAAGGGGTATAAAAAGGACTAACAGGTGGTATATGAAATACATAAAAACAGTAAAAATATTTTTTTTAAAAAAGAAAAAAAATTTAAATGTTTTACATCACAAGAAAGAATTACACTTCCATGCAGTGCCTTAAGGTTTTGAGAGTATGGGGCCATCAGTGAAATGTTACTGAAAGTTGATAGAATTATGTG